CATGATCCAATCGTTAACATGTTTGCATATGCTTAAAGGCTGATATTAGTCGTAAAAATTCAAAAGTCCAATTTAATTTTATTATGGTATCCAGTTGGATTGGAGTACAGAATATATATAATAATATGATAATGGTAGAAATTAAATCACTTTTTATTTTGATATTGTATACAAAATTATATAAGTCTAAGTAAATTTATTAATTTTTTTCATCTGTTGCAAGTTACAAAAATTTATTCTTACCTTTGCCTGACGGACAACCATCGCACAATCCAATATTGAGTGGTCAAAGTCCAATTCTAATTTTTGAAGTGTCACAGCTATACACCCACGAGCCTGACAAAATTCATTGACATGACCCTTACCCAACGGTGAAACCCGTATAAGTCAAAAGTCCAATTCCAAGTTTCTAGTGTCGCAGCTATCCACACATGGCTACTAAATTTCCAGTGATACAACCCTTGCTCGACGCATGCCCGTCGGTTAAACACGGTCCAACTCCAAATTTTGAAGTGTAATAAGTATCCACACACGAATCCCGAAAATCCACTGACACAACCCTTGTTTGACTGACCTTCCTCGGGTAAACCTATATAAGTCAAAAGTCCAACTCAAATTTTCAAAGTGTCACAACTATCCAACCATGGGTTCTGAAAATCTACTAGCACAACCTTTGCTCGATGGACCTCCGTTGGGGCTTGAAGACCAATAGGATCACTCAAACCACGCAACAGTGGATCCAAATTGTATACCTCATCAGCCACCGCTGTGAGAATGCTAGAGGCAACAGTTTGTTACTCACTATTATGGTGCCATCATCCGCACCAAGTGCCCTATGGACACTGATTCATGGATTACACATAGGGCCTTGGTTCGTGCAGAGATGAAGGGCCAGCTTTCGGTAAATATACAATTACTTGATTAGTTTAATTTTATATTTTTCTTAATTTATTTTATGCGGTTTAAACAAACTTTTTTTTTTTTTTTTTTTTTTTTGCAAAATTGCTGTCCAACTTCGACTGGAATGAGTAGGACAAGGGTTGTGTCGAGTACATCAACCAGATGTGCGGACGCTCATGTTTAAGGAGTAGAAGTATGAGGTGCACAAGGATTATGAGAGTTGGCCGATACATGACGCATTGCTTCCAGAACCATCCAGGAGTTTGTAGAGAGGGTGGCCGAGTGGGAGTGGCTTTGCACTCATTTTGAGAGTGAAAAGCATCAGGTAATTTTAATTTATTTTAATTTATATTTTAATTATTTTTTACTTATGTTAAATCAATATTTTCTAATGGACAAAAAAATTGACGGCAAATAAAGGAAACCGAGAGAAGAAGTTGTACGGTCACCACTCCAGTTCTCAACCTCTATCTTACCAGGTCGAGGAACGGTGGGAGGCTGGGGAAAAGTTCTCGAAGGTGGCGGTTTAGGGGGAGACGCGAGTCAATTATGGGAACGAGGTTGCAGACAGTTTAGGCAAGTATTTATTCTTTCTTTCTTTTTTTAACAATAATTATGGTCTAAATTATAATTGATAATCTAACTTTGCATCCCTTGTTTGTTTTTTTAGTCTTCAATGGTACAAAAGAAGGACGAGTACCTTGACAACCTTTCCTAGTAGCATCTTGACATGCCTATGGAAGAGCTGACACTTGTGCCAGAGGTGTCTCCCAAATGCTAATGGACGGAGTTGGGCAAAAGAAAGGTAAGGAAGTCAACGTCCTAGGAGCGAGCTGGGTTCAGGAAGTCGGGCCCAAGAATTGCCCAGCAATCACCGAACCCCCCAACACAATTGTTTACAATTTCTTTTTTTACCTTTTTTGTATTAAAATTGTACGAACAATTTTATTGTAAATAGTATTTCCCCTTTTTACAATATTTATTTCTTTAAATGTTCAAATTTAATATTTTTATTTTCTATTTTTGTAGTTATTATTGTTTTTTAAATTTTAGAATTAAATATTTTTTTTTTGTTTAGTTTTAAAGACTTTTGGTCGACAAAGTTGTCGTCGCTCAAAACCTTCTCTTACCTAACAACTCTTTCATCGGTTAAACCACCACTTACCTGACAAACTTGTTTAGCCGACGAAGTTTTTTGGTCTGGTAAAGTGTTTTATTTTGTAGTGACACATAATATTTTGCACCATAAATGTTCAACTGTAATAGATTTTTTGGCCTTGGTAATATGATATTGATTAGTAAATTAGTAATGTTTATTGTCTTCCATATGAATATGATTTTTGTCAATCTTTGTTCTTGCTTTTAGGTGATTAGACATGATTCATACGAAGTCACTATAAGAGCATTTCAACCCCATCCCAATTGGTTGGGCAATTGAATCCCTTAAAACTCTCAAAACCTTCAACATTTCAGTCTAATTAGTCGGGCTGCCCGTGAGCCCAACACAACCAGATTGAGCAATCTGGTAGGGATTGCTCGTGACGGGGGCTCGTGTCGATCAGCCACAATCAAAACACAAATTTCCACAACCTGTTATTGCTCTACATCGAGGATGACTACACCAACCCCAAGGTCGACCAATGGTGGGGGAGTTGTGGCGCAGCGCCCATAAGCCCGTTGGTTCCCTCAAGGAGTTGCTGCCTATTTGGGCCCAAAAATCTCATGCACAAGCCCAATCACATCATGATGCCCGATTGTGGTAAAAATGAATTGAGCCAAGCCTAAATACATGCAAAAGTGTGAAATCAAGAAGAAAGCGAATTTACGATCATGCCACACCAATGATATAATAATTTATGAGTTGGATGTTTGTATAATCACACCAAACCCATGAAAATCCATGCATATTTATCATGCCAAGCTTTGTGAGCCCAAGCCACGCACCAAAAGTCCAAGCCCATGATTCTTAAGTTCCACAGTTTGAGACATAATAAACCAAGTTTCCCTTCTCTTTGCAAGCCAACCAACCCATTTAGGAAGAAACCACAACTCAGAGCTTCAGAATCACGTGTAGGCATAGTGCAAAATGTTCATTAATGAAGAGAGAAGGGATCTTTCCCTTCCAAACTCACACATAAAAACGGGGCAAGAAAACAGGGAGGAGCATTGCCAAAACTAACGCCTATGAAAATTGACCAAGGAAGAAGGCACTCTTGGTAGAGTGCGCGACCTAGTCTTCACGAGAGCAATGACGTCTATCAATGTTACTCTAAAAGGAAAGTCATAACTACCTTAAGGGGAAGAGAGAGGAAGGCTTAGTCATAATGGGAAATCAAGGGATTTCTTAGGGAAAGCTAGAAAGAAACCCTGCGCCTATAAAAGAGGAAGGATTAATTCAATACAGAAGACAGATCATGTGGAGAAGAGACTATGTAGAGAATGAAGAGATTCAAGATTATATTGCACCAAGCAGGGAAGACCTTCTCTAAGTGCAAAAAGTCGTGAATCCTAAGTAAAACACTTTTCTTGAGTTTTAGGGATTTCTTTAGGTTTCCCTTGAGTTTTCTTAGCCGTTATAAACAACCTTAGACCCTTAGAAAACCCAAATTATTCATCTTTCAAAACCAGCAACCATGTACAAGTTCTCTCTCACGCTAAACTGATAAACTTTTAACTTCCACACTACACCTCGCTTAGGCAAGCCATAATTTGCCTTAATCATGCAATCTTTGAGCCATTAATCCAACTAAGATACTTCCTAAGACACGCCAATTATTTCGAGGTATCTTAGGACTTGGTGTTGGACGAATCAGAGAAAGCAAAAGGGTTTCCACAGAAGCCCAATTTCAACTTGATCAAAAGGTCCCCAACACCATTTTTTCCCAAGCCCAATTTCCCAGGGTCTTTCTCTAAGGACTATTTGGTTGTGGCATAAGGACTTATTGTGCCTGATCTATGGAATTTTAAAATGTAGGATCATCTAATGTTGGCTAGGGTGAGATCAGTAAAAGAGAAGAATGAGGGAGAGGTTTCCAGTTTCAGGAAGAAGTTTTTAGAGATAGGAACAAAGAAGAAAGAAAAAGAAAAAAAGAGAGAAAATTAATATAAAATAATATTATTTTTTATTAATCTCTTAATACTACCTGGCAATTCATTTTACGGATGGAGATGCAATCGGGCAATTACTATTCGCTAAGGCAATAATTGATCATTTCTCAATTGCCTAGGCAATTATCGCCCTAAGGGGTGGAGTTGTTCACTGAGACAACAATAGAAAAAAATGATAAGTAGCATTTAAAAAATAAATAAATAAATAAAAACTGTTTTCTAAAGCATTTCCAGTATGTCAAAAACATGACACTGCATTAAATTATTATTGCTTTTTCCTTGGTGTTATCATTTTGGTCATTGAAGTCTCCAATTTGTTCTTATCTATAAGACGTTTCATGTTGTAACGTATATTAATCATGTTTGATGCATGTATCTGTAATTATCATAAACGCTAATTATGCATGTGTTTACCATAGATGCTTAACCGTAGTTCATAGGAACTACCATAATGGATTAACCATGGTTAACATGAGTATAAATACTTTTAAGTAGTGGGTTTAAGTCACTATTCTTCCACCAGTAGATTATGCAGGTTAGTGAATTTTTCATGCAAATTCTGCCATTGTGAGAGTTGGTGAGTATCAACAGTCAAGTCTTAAGGCAACAAAAAGCACTTGCGAGTCTAATCAACTCGGCGGTGTTTGTGCGAGGATGGCGTCATTGACGAGAGGCTCATGAAAGAAAAGAGGTGCGAAGCAAGCGCAACTGCACTGATCGACTCCGTGGACTTCGTGAAAGATATGCTAATGCGGCTTCCGGCAAAGCGCATTCTCCAATGCAAGACAGCTTCCAAACATTGGTACTCTTTAATATGTTATCCTCTCTTTTTTGTAGAATATGCAAAAAGAAACTCGAACCCTCCGTTGGGTTTGATCATGAATGGTCGCACAGACCCACAACCTGAATTTTTCTTTGTTCCCCTTCAAGGCGAAATCAGGCCTCCTAGTTATCAAACCTTGCTTTGTAACCGCGAAATCAAAATTCAAAATATGTGTAATGGGTTGTTGTGCTGTGCTGAGCCTCACAAGGATGGCTCTGGGCCTACTTCTTATTTTGTTTGTAATCCTGCTTCTGGCCAAACCAGAACAGCTCTAGTTTTAGAACCTCAAGCCAACTTGAAATTAATAGCTGTGAACTTGGCTTTTGATCCACTGAAATCAGCCTTTTACAATCTGATTTTTGTTGCTGAAGAATCACTGTCTTTAGGGTCGCAGAAGATGATCAGGATCGACATCTACTCTTCCGAGACTCAATCTCGTAGACAAGTGCTGGTCTCTGTGCCTAGCAATGCAGGCTTTAAAAATGGGGTTTATTAGGATGGTGCTATTTATTGGTACCATCAGCAAAGGAACTCATTGTCCTATTTTGATATCGAGGTTTGGTACTACACTTGAAAGAATAGAAATGCCCCAGCTTGCAACCGGCGGGCTCACACGCAGGTTGATTATTTTGGACAGTCCGGGGGACGCTTGCTTTTTGTAGGAGTCTGCAGGCAGTTAAACACTCCCTTCAAGGTCTTTGAACTGCAGCAAGACAGGTCCGGGTGGTTTTTGAAGTACGAGAGTGATTGCAGTACTCTGATTGGGAGGACAAGGGTTTGTCAGTTTTCAGTTGTGACGGTGCTTGATAGCGAAAGGGAAGAGGACATCAGTATTGTGGTGAAAGTACCAGGGGGTGTGATCCTGTATAATGTTAAGAAAAAGACCTCAAGGAAGCTCCGGGATCTGCTACAAGGTTGCCCTTGCAATTTTTGGACATGGAGTTACATGAGGGGTAAAGCCTACCAATGGACTGAGACCCTTGCCTCCATTTGAAAGTTGTGTTTTTTCTTTTCAAATATTTAATTTTACCTTCTTACTTTTTTTATGATTATCAAATTTACAAATAGCAGTTCTCTTTTCTTTTTGTTTTTTTAAGTCTTTCTGTCATTATTCTTTTTTTTTTTTTTTTGGTCTGAGACTGCTACAAATTCTTCCTAATTAACACAACACAATAACTCATTCTTGTCAATTATGAGTTAACTTCAAGCTGTACACACAAACGTACACACAAACGCCGATCCTTTTTTTTTTTTTTTTTTTTTGTCAAAATTGATACCGAGGAACAAGTTACATGTGATACTGAGTGAAGCACTCAATGTCCTTGAGGTCTCCGGTTTGTTCTTATCTACAAGATGCATGTATCATGCTTTGCGTTAACCATAGTTAACTTATACATTTATCATAAGCGTTTAATATGCATATATGTAGTTACTGTAAATGATCACACATGTAATAACCATAAAGCGCAAACCTTGACGTAACAAAATTGGCTAAATTATTATACTTATATCATATATGCATTTAAATTTGAATCTCCCTTAGATTATATATATTTATTAGAACCAGCATAGGCTGCATAGCCTCACACTGTGTGTCTGAGTAGTTATTTTGGATGATAATTCCATCCCCGTACAAAATAAATGTACATCTCATTTCTTGCGAATAATTATATGTACTTATAAATTTCATAATCAGAATTGTTCAATTTATTAATCTTTATTTGACGATCATTCTAAAATAATTTGATTGGAGATCATGCAAACAATTGGATGGTTCATCATGAATTTAGTACTTGGTACTCACCCTGCTGATTTGTTGTACACATTTGGATGCCGAAACAATCTTCGATTTGAATGATTTTTTTTTAAGAATAATCTTTAAATAAAGATTAAGAAATTGAACAATTCTAATTATAATACAATGAAGATACAATATTCACAAGGATGAGATATGTACATTCCACCCATGGGGATGCAAGTATTATCCCTTTCTATCTTGTATTATTGGGTGGGCGTGTGTGTGGAGCCTCAAAATAGATGATTTCATGCATGTTCCATTTCTTAAAAACAATTTGTTTCATCAACATATTTGTACTTTTTGCGGTTAGATTTTTTGTTCAACGATGAAGGGTGAGAGTGGTTTGAGAGCTTTGAGAAAAAGAATTTTAGGATACAAAGCATCTAAAGTTAAAAAATGACTTAGAGTGCATTTAGAAATTGATTTTTTTTAATAAATAAAACTAAAAACCATTTAGGCCAGAATAGTCATTTTATAGTGGGACATATAGGTCATTTAATATTAAATTTTTATATTTATTTATTAATAAAACAATCCTAAAAATTTATATGGATTATTAATTAATTTTATTGTATTTATTATAATAATAGGTTGGTTTTTTGTCATATTGGATGAAAATGTGTAACCCTTACAAACTAAGCTTTGATGAATGAGCCGAACTTGAACTAAACTCTTGTTATCTCATGAAAATATGGGCACATTTTGAAGTGTTTTAAACATGACTGAAAGTACTTTTAGAAAAGAAAAAAAAATTATTTTTGGATTCCAATGCCCTTAAAGTGCTTCCTACAAGAAGCCCTAGTTATGTGCTTCTTGTAGGAAACAATTTAAGTTCTTTTTTAGAATTCACTTACATTTTAACTAATAATTGGTTTCAAAAATATTTTCACTAAAAACGTTTTCAACCATTTTGAAAGTACTTACAAACGAGTCTTATAACAGGTTGATTATGAGCTTTATGAGTTGAAGATATCAAAGCTCAAGCTCAACTCATTTTTCTTACAAACCAATTTGTTTGTTTTCAGTTCATTATTTTACAAAACCGGGATCAAACTAGTCCAACATGGATCGAGTTTGAAATGGTTCGAATTGATTTACATCCCTACTCCTGAACAGGATTTGAGGATGAGTTCATTGGTCTTATATATGCGCTATTTTAACCTCTAAATTACTAAGTTACTAATCAATAGTAATTAATTATGTATGCACATTGTCTTAATGATTTGAAAGGAAATTGAACTGGAAGCATAGACCTGTTTACACTAAAAAAATGTCATTGGGCTCAAACTAGGCCCAATACTGAAACCCACTAAAGTAAATATGTTTTAAGTGACCTTTTACTGTAGTGATGGAAATGAGTTAAGCCTTTGCATGACGGCGCGCGTAACATCCCACATCGTCTAGGGGAGTGGATCATGTAAGCCTTAAATGTATACTCTCATCTCTACCTAGCACGAGGCATTTTGGGAGCTCACTAGCTTCGGGTTCCATCAAAACTCCAAAGTTAAGTGAGATCACAACGAGAGCAATTCCAGGATGGGTAACCCACTAGGAAGTTCTCATTTGAGTTCCCAGAAACAAAACCGTGAGGGCGTGGTCGGAGCCCAAAGCGGACAATATCGTACTACGGTGGAGTCGAGCCCGGATGTGGTGGGGGCCCGGGCCGGGATGTGACAGCGCCGGTTTGAATCCCGTTGGTGACTAATCTAACATTTAATCTAACAAAATTGGAGAACGAAAGGAGCTGTAACACAAACACCACCTACTGTAGATTGGTGGACGAAAGGAGCTGTAACACCCATCAAAGATCAAAGCCAATGCGGTAATTAATTTTTATATACGTATCAGTTCAAATTAATCAAATTGTTGAACGAATCTAACTGTTATCATTTCATTATTGAGAACATATTTGTCTTTTAATCCCACCACAGTTTAATTGCAACCAAAACTACAGTTATGGTACCAGTGATGATGATACCAAATATTTGTTGGTGAAGAACTCGTGGGACAGAATGGGGTGACCAACGTACATAAGAACGCAAAGAGACATTGAGGCAAATGAAGGTCTTTGTGGCATTACTATGGAAGCCTCTTACCCTACTGCATAATCTGAATTTCCATCAAAAAGTCGGTGCCTACTATATAAACCATGTAGGTATACTACATATATCAGCATATGTACATCATGAATATTTAGTACTTGAATTCTATATGTAACAAAACTATCTAGTTTTATAATTACCTAAATGAAGTAAGAACACAGTATATCGTGGTTCACCTCAAGTCGGGGTTACGTCCACATTGGTGTAGATTTGGTTTCCACTCTGTAAAATGAGGGTTACATTTTACATAGATGCTTGTTGCTAGATAGGCTAGGGTTTGCCATCCTCCTAAAGTGAGGGTGAAGGATCCCTTTTATAGAACAAGGATTTCCCTCCCTTCTTATATACATCATGAGTTAAGTAGTGAGGCCCAAATATTGAGGCACAATCTATGGTACAATGAAAACACTGAGAGAGAGACAAAGAACCCTCCCGAAATGAAATCAACCAATAAAAACTAACACTTAAGCATTACATTCCAGCACAAATAAGTCAGCAAGGAAATCAAGGGCTTCCTCCAGCCATGAACGGAAACCCACTTGACGTAGGGCAAACTTAGCAAGACGATGAGCCATTTTTTTGTCCTGACGACGAACATGGGCAGGCACAACTCCTGTGACTCTCGACAGAACACGAGCTGCAAAAAATTCTCCGTTATCATTCCGAGCAATGATTCCAACACCACCCAACTTCAGCCCCTCAAGCCAAGCACCATCCACTTTAACCTTGATGAACCGCGGCAGAGGCAAGGTCCACCAAAGGGATGAAGAAACCGGGGATGCAGGGGGAATGTCAGATGACTGGCACTTCAAGAACTCCGCCAACCAGGCCACAGACTTAGCCGCAACATCAGCAGGATTTCAAAGCCGCCATTCCATAGTCGATGATTTCTAGCACCTAAAATAGCCCAACAAAGCATAATACATGTGGCAAAATCACCTTGTCGGAGGGACGAAGATAAGAACAAGGCCCAATACTCCATCGAAGACAAGTTCGATCCTTTGGGCGAGGGGCCCAGGGGTGAGGCCAACCACGCACAGATGGCGAAAAGGCCGATTCGCCCAAGGCACCACAAGGACACAATCAACCTCAACCTCCAGATGGCGACGAGTAAGGTTGAGTTGAGTGGGAAGAATGTTATGAACAATTCGCCACACGTAGATTTTTACCTTGGGAGGGACTCGTGCAGCCCAGAGCTTAGACCAAAGTTTACTCAGATGATTAGCCCCAAATGAAGAAGACGTAGCACCAATCTGATCCGGGATCCATGTTAGGATTTTTACCATCTATGCAAATAGGGTCAAAATCACATGAAATACTTGCAATAATACAAGGATATTATAGTATAGATGCTCATGCAAGGTCGTTATCTTCAAGGACTATTTTACTAATTTATGTAAAAACAATTCCTAATCAACTACTTAAAATTAAAAATTGAGAAACGAGATTTTTTTTTTTTGGGTAATATTAAAAACAAATTTTAATTAAACACAAATAATAAATTTTCCCACAACTAATATTAGACCCGTCAGTTTCTGACACAACACGAAAATAATGGGTTTCTGGTTAACACGATAACTAATCGGGTCATTATCGAGTAACTCGTTATGAACCCGCTAATAATGGGTTCTTAACAGGTATACAAGCGGTAACACGTGGGTAATTCATTTTGACCCGTTAAGAAAAAAAATATTTTGATAATTTTAAAGTTTAATTACTAAAAGATTTATTATAAAATACTATAGCCATATTAATATATACAATATATTCTATATTAAATATATAGTTTTGTATTATTATTCTATATAAGTTAAAAAAAAAAAGCTTTAGTCATTATTTATTTTTATTATGAGAGTTCCTTATTATCATTATTAAGATAAATTTTACTTAACATGTTGTTGTCCAAAATTAAAATAAACTAGTATAGTATTTGTATAGGCAAAAATTAAGAAGACATACATACAAGTATGAAAAATATGAAAGAATATATAAACACTCGTGATTCATTGTTATTCCTCCACAAGTAGATAATGGTTACACTTACATTATCGTTTAGATTTTTAAAATCCTCCAAACCCTCATGAATAATGTTTT